CCCTCCCTCTCTCTCTCTCTCTCTCTCTCTCTCCTCCTCTCTCTCTCTCTCTCTCTCTCTCTCTCTCTTTTGCTCTCTCGCACTCTCGCTCTCTCTCTCTCTCTCTCTCGCTCTCTTTCGCCTCCAATCTATTTTTCCAACACACGCATGTGCAAGTAAATAAAAATGTTATGTAAAACGCCTTCGTTAATAAATAGTAGTAGTAGTATATATATATATAGCGAATATGAATACATCAGCTTACCACAACGTGTTGAACGTGTTATGATGAGCTCCCGAAAATATGTGTGTAATTATAATAGCAACTAATATTAATTATAGACTAAACAATGATTGGGAGAGGGGTGAGAGACGCAAAACAAGGGAAAGTCGACATTTACTAGCCTCAGTCTACCTATACGATGTATTCCTAATCTTAATACATGCTATGCCGTTCCCCACACCCACCGCCCTAACGCTTTCCCGTGACATCGTCTGCTTCGTTAAGAACTGCTGTCGGCGGTGTCACGTGACAGTGATGACGCCGCGTGCAGCCCACCGTAAAAACACGGAAGTGCCATATAAAGACACCAACGTTAACATGAGTGCCAATACCCGGGTAACCGAGCAGTGAGCAAGCAACGCAGAGAGAGAGAGGGGGAGCAACACACTACACAACACACCGCGCGCGCGCGTTACGCACAGGAGAGCGAGAACAAGAGAGCAAAGAGTTACGCCGTGGTTCCGAAATAGCCGTAGAAGGTTTGCCAGGCACCGTCATCACTACCACGCCAGTCGTCTTCGCGCGTGCAGCCGGCGCTCTCTTTTCGCAACTACGTAGAGGACTCTTAATCAGAAGCATGGCGGCCGCCCCGCCGAAGCTGCTGCTGCTGCTGCTGCTGGCCGTAGCCGCGCTAACCGCCACCTGCTGGGCGTGTGAGGACATCGCGAGTCTCACCTTCCCCGAGAGGGTCTACTATTCGGAGGTGGTGTTGTACGCGGAAGTGATGCACCACTTCCCGGACACCGTCAACGACTTCGGACCTCAGAGCAACGTCTTTGCCGCGCAGCTGAAGGTGTTCTGCGTCCTGAAGAGCGGTCCGCTTGCCATAGGTCCTGTCATCAACATCACCGCAGCAGGTGAGTCGAGTTTGAAGATAAAGAGGGCAGAGGCAATGCTAGCTGGGCTAGCGATGGCGTTAGTGGGTGAGGTAGTATGAGGGAGACGGGGTGGGTGTATGGGGGAGAGGTCGCGTATGGTGGGAGGGTGTGTGTTGGAAGGGGAAGGTGTATGGAGAGCGTATGTGCGTGCGGGCGCGATCGTATGTGTGTGGGCGCGAGCGTGAGTGTGTGTGTGTGTGGGTTTGCTTCACCCAATCGTCTGCCTGATCGTCTGTACCAGTATTTACACAATCATCGAATAGTGATACATATGGTATGCGCATATTTCGCACGCGGCCACATTAAATTACACATAAGAGACGCGTGGCGTGGCGTGAACACACTAGTGCACGTGGCGCCAGTGATTTTATATATTGCTGTCATCGTCATATATGCAGCAGTTAGACTTTAGTGTGATGGAGAGACTTGTTGGTGACAGCTCGTTAGTGTTCGTACAGCATTAGTGGCCGGGTGACTCGCTTGCTTTCCATTATATGTCGTCGTCGTCGTCGTCGTCATCGTCGTTGCTGCTGCTTTTGTTGTTGATGTTTTTGTTTATTATATTATTATGGTTGTAGTTGCTGCTGCTACTACTATTACTACTATTACTACTACTACTACGACGACGACTACTACTACTACTACTACTACTACTACTACTACTACTACTACTACTTCTACTACTACTACTACTACTACTACTACTACTACTACTACTACTACTACTGCTGCTGCTGCTGCTGCTGCTGCTGCTGCTGCTGCTGCTGCTGAAACGGCTACTGTCGCTACCTATGCTGCTGCTGTTGGTGATGGTGTTGCAAACCTCCTGGTCTTATTTCAGCTCATTTCTATACTTTCTCGCGCTTTCGATCGCAGCCATTTATCTACTTTATCTACCTTTTTAAGGTCAGCACCCAAGATAAATGATTCGGGGTCGCACCTCACTCGCAGTCTTGCGCCTTACGGCGTTTTATAACCGGTTCTAGTATGAAAGAGAACACGGGGGTGGGGAGGAAGTGCGCTATGAATGAGTGGAAGAGAGAGTGAGAGAGAAAGAGAGAGAGAGAGAGATAGGGAAGAAAAACAGAGTTAGCGAGAGGAAAAGAGATAGATAGATAGATAGATAAATAGATAGAAAGAAAGAAAGAAAGATAGATAGATAGATAGATAGATAGATAGCTAGATAGATAGATAGATAGATAGATAGATAGATAGATAGATAGATAGATAGATAGATAAATAGATAGATAGATAGACAGACAGATAGATAGATAGATAGATAGATAGATAGATAGATAGATAGATAGATAGATAGATAGATAGATAGATCTTATTCTACTACTACTCACACTACTACTACTACTTACTACTGTACTACTACTAACGACTACTACTGCTGCTGCTATGCTGCTGCTGGCGCTGCTGCTTGTCTGCTGAAGATCGGTCTCACTGTCGCTACTGCTATCGCTTAGCTTGCGTTGGAGATGGTGCAGCCCAGCGAACCTCGTCTGTACTCTATGTTCAACAGAGCTTCATTCTATACTTCCGCTCTGCTTCATCGATCCGCTAGCCGAAGTCTGCTATTCCTTCACCCTTATGCTACTCTTTTTTAAGGCTCAGCCCACCCTTAGCTAAGTATAAATTGATCGGTCCGCACCTCACTCGGCAGTCTTGCGTCCTTACGCGCGCGATATTTAGTAGACGCGGTTTCTAGACGTATCAAGAGAACTCACGGTGGCTGGGGAGGCAAGTGCGGTCTATTGACATAGGAAGAGAAGAGTCCGCAAGACGACAAGACCGAAGGCAGACGAGAGATAGGGAAAGAAAAACAGATTAACAGGACGAGAGGATTAGAAATGAGAATAGATAGACGTATAGATAAATACGATAGAAATGAAAGACAAGACATAGTATAGGATAATAAGATAAGATATGATAGGATCAGCGTTTAAGATAACGATAGATAGAATAGATGAAGATCAGATAGATAGATAGCATAGATATGAATAAGATAGATAGATAGAATATGATAGACGTAGATAGGACCAGACGAGATATGAAGATAGATAGACTAAGTCAGAGCGTAAGATAGATAGATGGATAGAATAGCCCACCCTAATAATAGATAGGATAGAGCATGAAGATAGATAGACTAGTTTAGAATAGATAGCAGTAGATATTAATAGAACAACGATGTAAATAGATCAGAAGATGAAGACAGATAGACTACGATATTAGTTTGCCGATACTTGATAGGACTATGGATAGACTAGATAGATAGACTAACTGATGGATCACGGAATAGATAAATAATGATAGATCCGATGAGAAGACTAGAATTAGATAACGAACATAAAGATAGAAGATAGATAGACTCAGATCATTATTGATTAAGATTGACATAGATTAGATACGATATGATAAAGATAGAATTCTTTAGATAGATAGATACATGAGATAGAGTAGAATACGATAGCCATAGATAGATAGATAGAGTAGATGATAGATATCCCGAATAGATAGAGTTATGATAAGAAGATAGCTAGATGAGATTAAAGCATCAGATAACAATAATAATCAGAATAGAATAGACTAGATGAGCTAAAGTAGACAGATATGATACGAATAGACTAGATAGAGTAGATAGATAGATCGAGAGTAGATAGATTTAGATAGTAATAGAGATAGAATAGATACTCGATAGATAGATTAGATTAGATTAAGATAGATAAGATAGACTAGATAGGACTAGATAGACTAGATAGATAGATAGATAGATAGATAGATATTATAGATAGATAGATAGGGATAGAGAGCGAGAAAGAGCATATGTAGATAGATAGACAAGAGAGCAGAAGAGAGAAGAGAGAGATGAGAGAAGAGAGAAGCGAGAAGAGAAGAGAGAGAGAGAGAGAGCGAGAGAAGCGAGAGAGAGAGAGAAGAGAGAACGAGAGAGAGAGAGAGATAGAGAGAGAGAGAGGAGAGAGAGAAAGAGAGAGCGAGAGAGCGAGAGAGAGAGAGAAGAGAGAGAGAGAGAGAGAGAGAGAGGAGAAGCTGAGAGAGCGTTAACACTATAACGTTACCTCGCTGAATAATTAACACGCAGTATTTGTTGTGGCGTCGAGGAACATCAGTCACGATTAATTGGTCCGCCAAAGCGCTGACTGAGTGATTACCCGAATCAAATACCTATACGGCTGTGCTACGTGATCCGCGTCGCGTGACTGTCCGTGTTTGCGCCGCCCGCCCTTATCAATCAAACGAGATGCGGCACACCGACTTATTGTATAAGATCATCATCTCCTCTCTCTCCGTTTTTTTTTCTCTCTCTCTCGTTTTCTCTCTCTCGCCTCTCTCTCGTTTACTCTCCGCTTCTCATCTCTCGTTTTTCTCTCTCTCCTCTGTGCGTCTCCACATCTCATTGCTCCTCGCATCTGCAGCCATCTCTCTCTCCTCTCATCTCATAATCTCCCGTCCGGCTCTCATCCCTGCCTCCTCTTCTTGCTCGCCTCACATCATCATCACCTCCCACCCTACCTCAATCCCTCTCCCTCTCTCTGCTCTCATCTCTCTCATCTCTCATCCTCTCACCTCTCCCGCTCTCCTTCCCTCTCCTCTTCATCTACTCTCTCCTCTCCTCCTTTCTCGTCGTCTCGTCTCTCTCTCATCTCTCTTCTGCATATAGATATTTTATATTGTCTCTATATACTAAAAAAGAGGGTCTATGGTGGCTCTCTCTATAAGGAAGGAGGGCGTCCTCTAAGAGGGTGGAGTCGTCCTTTATATAACAAGAGTGGGGTCGTCATCTACGTGGCGTTTGTCCCCCCCCCACCTACCGGGATGTCCATCTATTGTGGATCTACGAGGTGGGATTGTCCTCATCTTGTTGAGTTTCCGTTATCTGGTTTTAATCCGGCAAGATAATTAACACAACACACACAAAAATCCCGATCGTCTGTGCAAACATGGCGGCGATGAGCGAGCGATCGCCGGCGCCCATGCTTCCTCGTTCCTGCAGCGCTACTGCTGATTATTAACGCGTCGTAAACCTGTTAGAGTCAGTTTAGACAGACAGGCGCGAGGGGCGGCCGCAGGGCTTAGGCTCGCTTTCCTCGATCGTTTGTTGTTGGAAAGCACACGCGCGTACACGGAAGCGCGGGCGTGAATTGTAAACGCACGAAGAACATGCGGCGTTGCAGACGATTATTTATTTTTTTGCGAGAATTAGGCAGAGCGAGACAGAGAGAGAGAGGGGAGATACGAGGGGGCCATAGGAAGTATAAATATAAGGTTATAGTAAAAAAATTGGTATATTTGGAATATTTGGTATGTATCTACCGCACATTTGTGCGTGTGCGTGTCTGCGTGCGTGTGCGTGTCTGCGTGCGTGCTCGTGTGTGTGTGTGTGTGTGTGTGTGTGTGTGTGTG